TAAAATCAATACAAGAGGAGTTAATCTCATACCGAAAATATTTCCAAACATATTATAAACAAATGCTTTTTATGAAATAACGAAAAATAATATAATGAAATAGAATCGAGTTTACGCATACTTGACACAAGTTTTCAAGCTTATACGTATTACAATGAACAAAAATTGTATCCCAACACTTTTTCTACGAAATATCTATTATCTTTTATATAAAATTATTCTCAAAAAATTATAACAAAATACGTTGTGTTAAATAATAAAATTTGATCTAATAGATATTATAATTGTTAGAAAAGAACTGTAACTATCTTTTAATGATTTAAATACAAACAAAATCACACAATATAAAATGTGTGTGTATGATATTAATAAAAAAAGAGAATATTTTTTAATAATATACTCTCAACATTCATTTAAATTTCGATCGCAAAGTATTTGTATTATTAATATCCAATGATAAAAGATCCTTTGGCTAGGTGGTAACTTTCTTTGGCCAGTCCTATCAGAAATCTCGACTTCTGAAAACTGCAAAAGAGAAAGAGAAAGAGAAAGAGATAGAGAAAGAATGTATATGAGGTGCCAGGTTGCCAGCAAGCCAGCCAACCAGCCAACCAGGGCCGGCATAAATCTGCCGAGGGCTCCCGAGGGTATTTCCAGCTTTTTTCTACCCTGAATAACCCCCTTTCCACGGTTTTACTCGGCCCCCGCCACTCCCCCCCCGTTGCCCCCTTCCACATAGTCGTCGCTTTTCCCAGCGCCAGTCATCGTCCTTCGTACTTCGCCCTTCGTCCTTCGTCCTTCTCACCATCCTTTTTCTAACTTTGCTCTTTCATTCTCTCTTTCTCACACATACTCACATTATCTTTCTTTCTTTCTTTCTTTTTCTCTCATTTCTTTCTTCCACCACAATATTCTCGTGTCTCATTCTCTCCCTCTCCCCCCCCCCGCACCTCATTCACCCCTTTACCTATCTTTTTCTATCTTTCTATATATTCTCCCAGCTTTTTATGTCTTTCCTTTTTTTTTCTCCACCCCTCCTCCTCCTTCTCCTCCTCCTCCTACCTTTTCTCTCTTCTCCACTATCTCATTCTCTTTCCATCTTCCTTTTTTCTTTCTACTCTATTTTTTCTTTTTTTTTTTTTTCTACGCGAAAAGACAATATTAAAAGAAGAGAATTCGAATAGATTAACAAAAAGAGTATTTCTAAATAATATGTTACGTTTAAGATGACAATATAGACAAATTCTTTTCTTCTTCTTCTTCTTCTTCTTCTTCTCAGATATCATAGAAAAAAATGTAGGCAAATGTTTAGCAACGATAATACGAAGTATCCTTATTGTCGTATAAATCGTGGAAATAAATTTGTCTTCGTTAAACGAAAAAATATAAAATAAAATAAAATAATCTTCTCTATATATACAGGGTGTTCGTAAAGATAATTAACAAAACGATAATCACAAAATCAACGTATTACCATTAAAATAAAATAAAATAAAATGATATCACTCATATGATATATCCAATATCATTGAAATAAAAATCAATGAACATTATTTAATATAAAAAAAAAAAAAAAAAAAAAAAAAAAGAAAAAAGGTTAGTCGAATAGAATTGGAAAATTTGAAGGAAAATGATTTAGCCATGAGTTTGCCAATGTGAAGGATAACCGTCGTTTAGTTTGAGCATCCGGTGAAAGCAATTTAAGCAGACCGCGTTTCGACAATAGATTTAGCAGGTAGTAAACGCGACCAGCTATGGGATTATAACAGTAGTGGCCTCTGGCTTTGAGGGTTGTAAAGGAAGGGTGAAGGAAGGGATGAGATGGGGAGGGAAGGGTGAGAAGGGGCTAGAGAGGGATTGGGGTGGGAGAGAACAGCTAGCATTAATACAATTAGCGCAGCTTTGCTAAGTACCGTAACGCGTACCACGATCTCCATATCCGTTGGACTTGGCCCAAATACTCACGGATGTCGTTTACGGATCTATCCAATGTTACAAATACAAGCAACCCTCCTTGGCACATCTATATATCCCCACTACTTATCATTACGATCGATGTTATCATCGTCATCCTATATGATATCAAATTGTTCTATAATAATACCCTCAAATGATATATAATCGTTTTCGATGAAATTGATAACGTTGATCAAGCAAGATGTTTCAGATTTAGACAGTTCAACCTTATCTATTATCACACATGTAATACTATTGATTATTATTATTATTGTTATATTAGGATGATTGGAATTATCAGAGTAATGATCGAGATAATGTAAAGGATAAAGTAGGTATTTGTTTTCGATAACATTTTAACGAAAGTATCGTTTAAGTTTATATTTTGTCGCGTTTTAATACCGAAATTGTGTTTCAATTTTCTGATAAGATCTTAAATTAATTATCGAAATGTCGGTACAGAAATGATTAACTTTGTAATTAATAATACACGATATTATATATTATAATATCGAATGATTTTATTATAATTATTCTATACGATCTAATCCGCGCGCAGATCACTCTGGTAGTTAATAATTAATTACCCCTTCCTTTTTATTATATATATATATATTATTCTTTATCATTGCGAAATTAAAAATAGAAAAAAAAAGGAGATAAAAATTATACGAAAGTACACGGCTGTTTTTTTGTTTTTTGTTTATTTCGAACGAATGGATATTACGCGATAATGATAATCAAAATATACAATTCGAATGTGGAAAATAATCGTTTGATCAAATCGTATCGTTTTGAAATTCCCTTTTTTCTGACAGGGGGGGGGGAGGGGACAGGGGGAAATATTTTTGTTCGAATGGAAAACGTAAAGAAAGAATTCAGGACCGGGTGTATTCGGATATCAAAGATAACACCTGAAATCCTTGAAGTTACATCGTTGAAATTGTTATCGACGTTTCTCACCTATTCATAAAAGACACTGCTAAAGAGATGGGGCACACAGGTATACACACACACACACACACACACACACACACAGATGATCGTGAAAGTTATCAGCTTTAGCGAAGAGAAACGAACGAACGAACGAACGAACGAATCAACGAACGAATCAACGAACGAGGCAATCTCGTGACGACCTCGTTATATGGAAAAGCTCGAGAGAATACGCAGAAAGGAAACGATGGGGTGGTGGGTAGGGGGCTAGAAGGGAGGAGGGAGGAGAGGAGGAGGGGATAAAGGTTTGAAGGGTAAGACCCGAATGGATAAAGATGCACTCTCTCATTATATTCAATCGTCGTTCCATTTACTTTCCTTCCTTGATCCAACGATACTCAGATCGTTAACTATTATCTTTCTATTATATAACAAGAATGATTATATTTATATAAAATCTTATTTATCTTAACGTAACAATCCCCACGTTTTATTTCAAACATATATATGTAGATGTATGTATGTATGGTATATTATAAGAACAAAAGTTTAAAAAACGAAAATTGTACGATACTCGTGTAACAATTACACGTTAATCATTTTTTTTTAATATAACTATTTTATTTTTGTTTTCTACAATATCTAAATATGTCAGTAAAAAATGAGTGTGTGTTTTTTGTTGTTTTTAAATTGTTCGTCGAATAGAGTTAAAGTTTCGAAAGAAAGTTTATATACGATAGAGGTAACGAATACAGCGTGGTAATAATAATTTTGTTGCAAATTTGGTTTACTTGTCTTTTTCTTCTTCTTCTTTTTTTTTGCAATCTAAATTGCTTGTTTCAATTACTTTTGAAAAGAAAACAAAAAATAATAACCTTTCAATTTTTTATTAATAAAATGTTAGATCATATTGACAATCCTATTATTTCTTTTCAATGCTTATTAAACGAGTTTTACGAGTATCAATACTTCCCCCCCTCTCCCTCCGCCCCGTATAAATTTTACAACATTAATACGTTTAATACCGTTAAAGGTATCATTGTTATCAATAATAATTTATTATTAACATCATATATATATAAATGAAACAAATAAGTTTTATTGTTCAAGGATTATACGATGAAATAAAATAATCCCTTTATCGTGAAAATAATGAAACATTCATATGCATAATACGAATCTAATGAATCGAACCCCCATGNGAAATAAAATAATCCCTTTATCGTGAAAATAATGAAACATTCATATGCATAATACGAATCTAATGAATCGAACCCCCATGATAAATAATTTCTCAAAAAAAAAAACAAAAAAAAAAAAAAGAAACAAATACGATTATTTGAACATACGTCAATTAAATTCTCATTTACGTAACGAACCATAGTTTTGTTGTTAGTGGTAAAAGTGTAAACGTTGCTAAAGTTTTGATAATGATAAAAATCTCTGTTGGATTGAAAGAGAGAAAGAGAGAGAAAGAGAGAGAAAGGAAACATTGCTTATTTCGCAATGGACAGATTCGTGGAGGACTCAATAGCTGTGCGTTGTAGCCGTTTTTCCGACACATACCATCGCGTCGTTGGACTATTGTTGATAACTCGGCCATTGGCGCATTTCTGACATTCCCTTGGGTTCTTCCTACCTGATATCGGGAACAAAACACGGTGAAATCGATTTTCACGGTATACGATGAGACACAAAAATGAGTCTTCTTCGCTTGTATTGAGAGAAAGAGAGACCTGCTTGTGCGTTCGTGCTGAACAAAAATACGAATGAACAAGACTTTTTTTTTTTTATATTTAAAAAGAAAAATAGTAGATAAATTATTAACGTGTCGAATAATTTTTTTCGTGCACGTTGGTTGGTTTCTTTTTTTTTCTCTCTCTCTCTCTCTCTCTCTCCTTCTATTCGTAATTATCAATTTTTGAGTATACTTTCAACGTTACAATTTTAAATGATATTAGATAATCGTTCAAGGATCAAGGATCTCTGTTTAATCGTAGGAATTATTAATTGACTGTTAAATTTCTTTTGTTCTTTTTTTATTTGTTTTTTTAAATCCCTCTTGTGTTAGATATTCGTTTATAAGTATGTAGAATTTTGGTACTCACTCAAACGGGAAAGTTTATAAGCATCCGCTGTATTAATAACGTCGACGAAAGCTTGCAATTCGAATTTTCTCATGGTAGTATTCTTGTTGTGATTAAACATGGCGAACTTGAATGCAGATTGTACCTCGTCCGTACCCTGTTCGAAGATTGCACCTGTAATTTAAAAAAATACAATACGATATAACAATCGTTTCATATCGATATTTAATTATTTAAATTGTTGATATATTGCGAATAAATATTATAATCACGGAAAGCGTTTAACAAACGTATTGTTAACCAGCTTTGCTTTATAAGGAGAACAACAAAAAAATATAAGTATATATATATATATAAACGTCCAGCAATTATTTCGTTTAATCAACGTATATATTATATTGTTTATAAAATTCATTCGATAATGTAGAAAATGTGTATGCTCGATAATAAAGTAATTTAAATGCACTTTGGTAATAAATATTGAAATAACAAATCAATATATGTAAATTGTTGATTCGTATTAAAAATGATGATAAAAATTATTCGAAAAGTATTAAAATATAATACATATGGTTACATCTTAACGATATTGATATTGGTTAATTGATATACCTTATTGTAGTTCTAACAGCTTAATATGCGTTATTACGAATAAAAATAAATATCTTGTGTGTTAGTATTGTTTAATTAGTAATAGAATGAATAGTATGTAATAGAATGAGTGAAAATTTGGAGAGAAGATAATATATCATGCCATTTATCAGATGACACACGTCGAATCCTCATCTTTCGTGGAAATCAATCGAGTATGACGATTCAGGTCAACGTTAGCTGTGTATCGGATGTCTAGTTATATCGGTCCGTTTACCGATAGCCCACATACGATGTACCTATGCGATCCGACGTCTGCTAGATCACCAATGTTGCATGAGTTTGCTGTAATTTCGATTGAAGCCATTTGACATTAATAGTTAGGTACTAATACGTACTGATATTAAGCTTTGAAACGGTTACTTTATATTATACGTACATGTAAATATATATTACATGGATTTTTTATTTTAAAAATATTTTATTATATTTAATATCTCTTTTTATATTAAACCACTCTCTCTTATTTTGTATATATATTTTACACATTATTTTTAATAGCGTTTATAATTGTGGGATAGAAAAACAAAGAAATGATCTTTGTAAATCTTCACAGTGTTCAAGAAAATTTTTCTTATCCTATCTTTGATTTAACATAATTTTGTATATATTTTTGTTTTCTTGTTCAATTAACACACACACACCACTCTCTCTTATTTTATATATATATTTTACACATTATTTTTAATAGCGTTTATAATTGTGGGATAGAAAAAAAAGAAATGATCTTTGTAAATCTTCACAGTGTTCAAGAAAATTTTTCTTATCCTACCTTTGATTTAACATAATTTTGTATAGTTTGTTTTATTTTGTTCAATTAACACACACACGTATTATTCGTAATATAATGGTTATACATTATTTATAAGTTTATTCATAATTTGCAATGATAACGTGTGCAAATAAGAGTAGCTGAATTTGGAATAGCTAAAAGAAGTATAATAATTAACAATTTTTGTTATATTTAAATTAACACATTTTTTTTTGTAATAATAATTATTTTAAATTATCCGATAGGATCGTTTATAATTATATCGAATGATCAAATAAAATGGAAATATAATTATAAATAGAAATTATTTTTCCAACTACTTAGTAAATTGTAACACCAGACGCATTATCCTTTATCTATTTTCTTCTTTTACTTTCCTTTTTCTTATTACCTCTTTCTATGGTTTTTCTTTTTTTCTTTTTTAGAAAAAATGTTTCCTTGTTGAAGCCAAAGGAGAAAAATTTTCGCGTTGAACGTTATGCGATATTATTGCCCTATTCTCTCGACTACCATAGTATCCTTTTTTTTCTTTTCTTCTTTTCTTTCTCAATTTTCTCTTTCAATTGTATTTCAACGAACAAAGTTTACGTCTACATAGACGTTCAACGGAATACATATATATTATCTAATAAAGAATTTTAATTATTCTCCTTTTCTTATAATAATAAAACGAAATTATTTTGACGATAATTAACGGAAGGGCTATTTTTCAAACTGAATTTAAAAAATGCAACGTTACCCCTTTTCAAAATTTATTTAATTATTTCAAGATTAAAATTAACATTTCATTTTTTGAATGAAAATGAACATTATTGCTGATATAATTAAGATAATATTTTATAGATGATATAGATTGATTGAATATATAAATATTACGTTAATAATTATTTACCACATTTAAAAATATTCTGATATTCATGACAGTTAATAGACATAGATTGATCACTATGTTTGATAGTAATTCTTAAAAATCTGTCTTATATTTTTACAATGTCATAATTATGAAAGTTGATGTACAAAGATCAGATTATATTAACATATTCAATAATTTAATGAACTAATTTTTTGTCAATAGAAAACTTTCGATGTATTCTTATTTTTAAAGTGATTGAAAATTCTATAAATGTGAGTTTTAATGAATTAAGATTACGTAAAAAGATACTGTTATATTAAAATGAAATTTAGAAGAAATTTTCTCGATTGATAATAATACGATATTAAACGTTATGATTGAGAAATCAGTTTGAACTATAATAAACTGTAAATATATCTAAGGAAGATATAAGGGTAACTGTTTAAACCACGTTCGCATGATGTACAGTCTACCCTTATTCGATAAAATCTATATTTAAATTATATCATCCTAGAGTCTACAACTTCCATGAACAATGGCTGCGTATTCGAGTATTAGAAGGGATCGATAAGTTATCTATTACAGACGGTCTACCTTGATTCACTAAATATACACTTAATATAAAGATGAACATATTATATATATATATATCTACGAGTTAATCGATAAACTTATATATCGAGATTTTATTTATTATTCATTTATAAAAGTTATTTTTTTAGCGATTTGTTTTCAATTGAATGGATATTACAATTTATGCGCTACCGGTTTAAATAATAAATATAATCATTTTTGGATAATATATTTACAAATAATATTTATCGTTATGAAAACAAACTGTCGTAAAAAAAAGAAAGAAAATTTAAACGAATAGAAGTAGCGAGAGAGTTATGATTTCCTTTTTGGTTTTTTTTTTCTTTTTAGTTTTTCTCGATTGAATGCACCCAACGATTAATTTATTTTTGCTTTAAATAGTAATAATATATTAATAAATAAAAAATCATTTTTATAAGAGATATATAATATATTATAAAATAATATTTATATTATTAAAATTCTGTCGCTAAGAGTGAGATAAAATTCCAAATAATAAACATCTAGCATCGAATTTTTTAATTGAAAATTTGAAATATGCAACGTTTGATGTGTTAAAGTTATTAGAAATTCTTTACGCACGACAGTCGAATAATTTTTAAATTTTTCTTTTTAATGTTATATATAAAGGATAATTTATTAAATATTTCTATCGAGCATAAATGTACGATTAATAGTACTGTCTATCATGCATTTTACAACATTCTTGGAATACATTCTATATACCGTCATTACAATCAAACGTGTTCTATTAAAATTCCTCGAATAACGAGATGAAATCCGAAAGATCTCTAAAGTTCTCTTGATCCATTCGATCTACGTCAAATACAAAAGAAAAACAGACAGATAGACAGACAGAAAATTAACGAAGCAAATGAGAGTGAGATATGTGTTGGTCGTTGTTCGTGAATATCTCCCAAATTAAAATGAAAATTATTTAACGTACGATGCTTCGAAATATTCAACGTTCAATTGAATTGTAAGATATCAAACGAAAAAAAAAAAACAAATTCCGATCCCTTCTTCGTCCTTTACTACCCCAATATTTAACACCAAAGATTGGTCAATATATTTTTTTCCTAGATATATTAATTCATAAATTACATTAATTATAATATTAAGATACGAACGATAAAACAATCTATAAGTAATTTCGAATACAAACCAAATGATTTCTAAGAAACAAAAACACAATGTATTAAATCACTTAAACCATTAAAAATAAAACGTAGCCTGTAATTTATCATACTAATAAATCATGAATAATCATACGTGAAACGAAAAAATGAAAACTGGACACGCATGTAAATTTCACTATAAAAAAAAAGAAAAGAAATAAATATAAAATAAAATAATTAAAAGATCAACTGTATGTGTGTGTCACTTGTATCAGCAATAAAGAAAGAAGAAGAAGAAAAAAAAGAAAAAGAAACAACAACAAAAACAACAACGTAAAAGAAGAAGGAAAAAGAAACGGGGGAGAAACGAAAAAACAAAAAAGAAAATGAAAGAAAATAGGAAGGAAATGGAGATAGAAGGAAAGATCGGAATGACGACGTTGGAATAGTTGGAAGAAAATGATTGAACAAAGAAAGAAAAAGAGAGAGAGAGAGAGAGAGATGAAGGGATGGAAGAGTAGAAATAGGATAGTAGTGGTGGTGGTGGTGGTGGTGGGAGTGAAAGAGGGTGAAGGGCACGGAGAATGTGGAGGATTGCGGCGAAGCACTGAGTACGGAAGGGAAATACGAAAAGGGGAATCGATGTGAGTGTGAACCAGTAATGGTGGGGATACTGGGCACCAATCAATAGCCGCGCGGCGGCGCCACACCTGTCAACGCGAGCTGAAATAAACACAGGTACTATATACCTATATATATCTATATGTATAACTAATACATAGGTACATGCACATTGTCTATCTTTGTCGAACGTGTTAACATTGCCATTCAACCGATGATCAAACCCCTACTCGACTTTTTTCAGTGCTTTTATTTTCATTTTTCTTTTTTCCATTTCTTTCGAAACCACACGCACACACACACACATATTTAGAAATTTTTAATTCGTCAATATTTATTAGATCGTAACGATTAACGAGTTTCGATGGGTTAAAAAAATAAAGAAAAGTGACAACGAAAAAAAAAAAAAGAAAGTAAGTCCGAAAAACGACAGGTAGTTTCTTTTTAACAAATAACATGACTTTTGTTGTCACGGGTATACGAGAACAGTTTCCAAATTCGTTAAATAAAGCTGACGCATTTTCAATGTACCCGAATTGATTCGCGTTTTATTGGATTAACGTAT